ATCTGTGTATCTATGTATCTATGTAAGTAGGTAGGTAGGTATGAAGAACACTTTAACAGTATTAGTAAGAAATGTGCAGATGCAGTTTTGGCCCTGTCTTCTGCTGGCTGGATGGTGGCAATGATTTTTTTTTGTTGCTTCAGGCTGTTTGCTCTGTTGTTTTCTAATCAGGATTCTCTTTGTTTCTCTCACATGGAACACAGTAACAAGAATTTCCTTGGCAATGGGTTCTCAGAATTCACCTGCAAGTGCCCATAGACGACATTGGCAGAGTGAAATACAAATTCTTATAAGAAGTTGGGAAACTGCTGCTTAATTTTCAGTTTAACAAGCATGTATTTCCGCTCCTATGATGAATGTCAGGGAAGTGTAGTGCCTGTGAACAGAAGGACTGTCTACAGTTACCATTGATTTGAATAAATGAATGAATAAATTAATATCTATCCCTTGATTTTATACATTTCTAAACATTCCCCATTAAACAGGTCTAAATCTAATGGCTGTGAATTCTCGAAGGAGACATGGTAACACTGACTGGCATGGAGTAGAAGATAAATGAAGGAACAGACCATACAACATATTATGTGTGACATATTACTTGTAAAGGACAGGTCGGTCTTGTAAGGCTTCCATGGCTTGAGTCAACACTGGGCAGATATCACAGGTCTCTTGGGTCAGTCCTCTGCATTCATCTTTGTAGCAAGAAGGAAAACAGGACAATAAATGTATCGATTGGAGTAAGACACTATCAACCGACTAACTCAGTAGCTGCAGTCTTTCTGGTAACTATGATTATGTTATGCTCCATTCCTTGTTGCTAAATGTTTTGGACCATAGTAACCCTGTTGGCAAGACACAAATCAAAGCACTAAAACATTTTTCAATCATATTTTCCCATGAGTGTGCACCAGTTTACTTCTGCTTCAGACAATACAAACAATGAACAGGCAGTGACCAATCTTCCAGACTGTGGAGAAAATGGGTGAACACACTCCACTCTTATTGGACTTTACCTAATGCTGGAAAGACAAGTAAATGCCCTCTTCCAACAATGTGCAGTAATGTTCTAGCAATAAATGTAGTGCTCCCTCATAAACTGACAGATGCATATAAAAAAAGACACCCTTCACAAAATATACTGGCTTCTACAACATGTAGAGAAATACAAGAGAAACAACGTAATAACTGACCACACTGTCATTTGACCACTATCAAATTTACAGCTGTCAAATTTCTGGATTTTGATCTTTAAGCAAATCCAAAGCACACCATAATAAGTGTCTGTAGCGCAACTCATAATTTAGTAAATGCTCTATATTTTTTGTGAACGTGTAATTACAAAAATGAAGTTTGTGTGATCTCAATGGTTTATTTCCCTTTTAATGTCTGTGACAAAACACACAAGGCTAAGCTGAGGAAAATTTGGGTTTCTGGCATTCTTTTGGCAAAACCTCAGACAGAGGTTATGAGTCACATGTGTCCTCAAATGTGTCCTATACACGCCAGTGCTCTCACTTGAAAGAGCATGATTTTGTATTTCACTCCATCCAGTTACAACAAAAAAAAAGAACAGATTCAGATCACTGATTATGGTGGTACACTTTTCATAATTTTTCACAACATGCCTGTTTGATTGTCAAGTCTGAGATCAGCATGGAGGCCTTGTACAAAGAGGGTCATGATGAGTCAGTTTTATCTAACCGTGTGCTTGTGGTATTAACTCTGTGTACTGTACTCACTCTGAGCCCAGCGGTAGAGCTGTTCATATGAAGTCTCCTGTAACACGGCCATCTGCTCCATGATCTCTAGCCTGGAATAAGCACACAAACCAAGACCACGTATTACATACCCATAACCTGCATCATAGTGTCAGATCCCTGAGGGTGACATAAATACCACACCTGGATGTTTTTTTTTTCTTTCCACTCATCTGTTTCACCATTCAGGTTCAAAATAAATTGCATGGATTTAGCAACACGAATATAGTCACTGTAAAAGACCCTGTCATTTCATTCTGTCAGAGGAAGTGGAACACAGAGTAACACCATGTATGGACTAGGATGTGCACCTTACCCCGCAGTTTGCTGGTTGGTTCGCAGGAGGATTTTCACATCCTCATGGATATGCTTCACTCGGCTGAGAGCTTTGAAGAAATCCTGGGAAATTGAACAACACGTGAATATATTTGCCGAAGACAATCAACATTCTTTGGCAAAACACGAAAAAAATACAGATTTGATAAAAAAAAAATCTCCTGTTTAAGGACAGCAGTTGTAACTAATCATGCAAAATTGATGGATATAACCTAGATCTGAAGCTGACAAATGTGTGGTTTTATTTCACATGCTACATTATTTATGGATCTGATTTTTGTATATTAAAGTGGGAGGTAGACAGTATAAAGTGTTGAGAAGGATGGTAGGAAAAGGCAAAAATCTCAAATCTCAAAAAACAAACAAAAACCTCATATGACAAAACTGTAGTTAATGGGCAAATATCTTTAACACATCTTAAAACTTATTAAATATTGTGTGAAGATGACTGAGAAGACAGTTTGAAGATACAGATAATGAAGCAAAAAAACTGAAGGGAAAAGACACAGATCAGCAAGACAGTAATCTGTACCTGATCTTGCATAGTCCCATCTTGTGGGTGCACATGGGAGGATTCTTTACATAATTGAATTAATTAGTATACATTATAATGGAGATTACCTCAGTAATGGGCGCATCCCGAGCCCCTCGCAGCTTGGCCATCTCTTCATTGGTTAGTTGGAACTTGGCGAGGAACGCCTGAGCAACCTGAGCCCTCACCTCTAGGCGGTGACTGAGAGGAAAAGAGATAAATGTTTTAATTTCCTTCACTTCCCACTGTTGCACTTTAATATCTTTATGAAGAATCTTCTCATAATGTTTGGTCATTTTTTTCTGTGCAGTTCCATTGGGCCTTTGCTTGTCACAGGATTTGTTCTGTGTTGTCGTAAAGGCCTTGTCAATTTTTAATCACAATAGCATTCAGATTATTTCTTGTCTTCCATCACTGAGGTTTATCACTGCATTTTGTCATTATT